ACCACGGGCCCTGGAAGCGTGGGTGGGCTGGTAACAGACCCGCTCCGGTGGGGGTCGGGCACTGCGGGGTGTTTAAGCCTGTCAATAAAAAAAGTGACCCATGCTCCGTCTCTGCAGCTACTCAAGGGAAATAAAGCCGTTTGCTTATAAAGAATTTCCATAAACATTTCTGAGGATGTGTATTAGGGGTAATCTTGGGATGTGCATTAAACTAAACAGGGTAGTATAAACACAGGAACAGGCTGAGAGGGAGAATAAATGGCCCAGCTAGCTCTGGCCCGGTGGCCCTAGGCAACTTGTGTAGCCTGCAGACACCCAGGGCCTCCAGTTCTTTTTTTTTTTTTTTAATAGATTTTATTGATTTTTTACAGAGAGGAAGGGAGAGAGATAGAGAGTTAGAAACATCGATGAGAGAGAAACATCAACCAGCCGCCTCCTGCACATCTCCCACTGGGGATGTGCCCGCAACCCAGATACATGCCCTTGACCAGAATCGAACCTGGGACCCTTCAGTCCGCAGGCCTACGCTCTATCCACTGAGCCAAACCGGTTTCGGCAGGGCCTCCAGTTCTTTATGTAAAGAAGGTGGAGAGACGCAGGGGAAGCCCAGGGGCAGCCCAGCTCGGATTAGCAAGTCTCTGGAATGAGGCCTACCCTTTTCTTTCTCCTAACCTCTAGGCTTCGGATTCCTGGAGTCATCTATGTGAAATACACAGAGGTGCTAAAAAGCACAAGAGGTGGCCTCCTCTGTGCCAGGAGGATCTCCTTTCACCCTCCCGGACACAGCTGCTGGGAAGGGAGCCCATTGTCTCCATGGCACCGATGAGGAGACCGGCTCTGAGAAGCATGCGGCTCTGAGCAGAGAGGCTCGGGCCTCAGAGCCTGAGCACTTGAAGGGGTTCTCTGCGGAAGGAAGGAAGGTGCTCCCTGATATCAGCATCTGCCTTTTGTCACCGAGCCTCAGGACCACCATGGAGTCGATCATATGCCCCCACTCGTGCTTTCCTGTTGGTTTGGGCAAGAAGACTCCTTTCTAAAATTAACTATTTATTTGTGTCCTCAATACATGAATGTGTTGTTGAATTTAAAAGGTTCCAAGGGTTGTGACAGGGAGAGAGCGTCTCCCTCTCTGCCCTAGCCCCCAACTGCCCCTCCCCCAGGTCCTGCTGGGATCAGTTTCCCTGTGACTCCTTTGAGAGTGGTGGTCTATCCACAGGCAAGGGGCATATACATGCTACACACACACATACCTTTCTTTTTAAAAAAATATTTTTATGATTTCAGAGAGAGGAAGGGAGAGGGAGAGAGGGAGAGAAACATGAATGATGAAAGAGAATCATCGATCGGCTGCCTCCTGCATGCCTCCCCCTGGGGATGGAGCCCATAACTCTGACAGGGAATCAAACCCTGACCTTCTGGTTCATAGGTCAATGCTCAACCACTGAGCAACACTGGCCCGGCTACCTTTCTGGTTATGGATAGTCTTGCTTCTTGCTTTTTTATTTAACAATGTATTTTGCAGTCTATTCCACAGCTCCACCTATAAACACCATTCTTTTGTTAAAGTATATTTTTTTATTGATTTCAGAGAGGAAGAGAGAGAGATAGAAACATCAATGATGAAGGAGAATCATTGATTGGCTGCCTTCTGCATGCCCCCTACTGGGGATTGAGCATGTGCCCTTGATTAGAATCGAAACCGGGACCCTTCAGTCTGCAGGCTGACACTCTATCCACTGAGCCAAACCAGCTAGGGCCAAACACCATTCTTCTTTTTTTTTAAATTTATTAATTGATTTCAGAGAGGAAGGGAGGAGAAAGAGATAGAAACATCAATGATGAGAATCACTGATCAGCTGCCTCCCACACCCCCCCCGACTGGGGATCAAACCCGAAACCTGGGTATGTGCCCTTGACCAGAATCTAACCCAGGACCCTTTAGTCCACAGTCTACCCACTGAGCCAAACCTGCTAAGGCCAAACACCTTTTTAAAAATACACCATTCTTTTTAATGGCTGCACAGTATTTCATCATATGGATGGACCAAGATTAATGTGGTCAGAATCTACTTAAGTATTTAGGCTGTTTCTGGTTTTTGTGATTATAAGCAATGCTCTGGGTGGGTGGGTAGGGGAGTATTGTATAATTTTGTACATATGTATTTGTGCATATAATTGTAGACATGTGTATGTATATCTATAGGATCAATACACAGGAATAGAATATTGGGGCCTTTAAAGATTATTGTATATTTTTCCCCTTCATCTTCATCTGCAATCTGAATTCCTTCTCTGTCATATACAGCTACCATTGTGTATTTAAAATGAATCCTTCCAATCTACTTTCTATATATTTACTTTTATTTGTGTTATGCAGCTTTAAATATACATATATACTAGTATGTATGTACATATATACAGTATTGTTTTGTGTATATTTAACTTATACAAATAATGTTTAAAAATATGACAGATATTTCTTTATGCTTTTCATCAATCTCTTATGTTAACTATGTTACATATAACCATACTGTCATTATTTTTTTAAAAAATTTATTGAATTTATTGGGGTGACATCCTATATAATAAAAGCCTAATATGCAAATTGACTGAAGGGCGGAATGACCAGCAGAACAACCAGTGACTATGATGTGCAATGACCACCAGGGGGCAGATACTCAATGCAGGAGCTGCCCCCAGCCCGCAGGCCCCAGGCCAGTCAAGGCGGGTGCCAGTGGGGGCCATTGATTGCCCCCGCCGGTTGCTCCACAGAGGGAGGCGACAGACAGTGGTGGTGGGGGGTGGGGCTGGCGAGCAGGCAGCGCCTGGCCGGCCAAGGTGAGTGCCAGCGGGGGCCCCCCTGATCACCCTGCCGGTCGCCCCACAGATCAGCCCTGATCTCTGGCCAGGCCTAGGGACCCTACCCATGCACACATTTCGTGCACCGGGCCTCTAATTGGTTAATAAAATTATATAGGTTTTAAGTGTATAATTTTATAATACATCATCTGTATATTGTATTGTGTGCTCACCACCCAAAGTCATGTCTCCTTCTGACACCATTTATCCCCTCTCTATCCGCTTCTATCTGCCCCATCCCTTTTCCCTCTGGTAATCACCATGCTGATTGCTTATTTTGTGCATTAGATTAAGGAATTCTATGTGTTGTCAAGCTGGCTAAACTAGGAAAATATTTCTTTCTGTTCCAGGGTCCAGTGCAGGACCCCATACTCACCTATGACAGTTCTACCATCTTTCCTTGTCTTTCATGACTGTGACACTTAAAGACTACATGTCTGTTATTTTGTAAAATGCCCCATAATATGAGATTATCTGATGTTTTCTCATGATTGGAAAGAGGTTATGCATTTTTGGCAAGAATACTACAGGGGTGGCATGTGCTTCTCCATGTGTCTTACCAAGGGCTTCATACTGTTGATGTGGCATCTTATTAGTGACGTTAACCTTTTTTAAAAATAATTTTTATTTATTGATTTTTAGAGAGAAAGAGGAAGGAAAAGAGAGCGAGAGAAACACTTACTTATAGATTCGTTGGTTGATTCTTGTATGTGCCCACAACCTTGGCATATCGGGATGATGCTCTAACCCACTCAGCTCCCTGGTAGGGACAATTTGAATTATTTTTAAAAATTGTCTGTGGAGATGTAAATTTAAAAGTTTTTAAAAAATGCAATGCAAAAAAAAAATGTTAAATAAACAATAGGACATGGAGAAAAGCTTCAGAAATGCAGAGGCAACATGTCCCTGTTTTAAAACAGTAAAACCTTGCTTTAGATATAAAGGTCAGTTGTAGAACTAAATTGGCTGCTAAGCAGGTCAGAGCAGGACTAAAACATTGAGGAAGTTGGCTCTTGTATTGCCTTTTCTACATGGAAATTACCATCACCAACATCAGTCAATCAGCTGTTTTCTTTCTTCCTCTCTTCTCTTACTTGCTTGCATAACCTATTTCACAGTCTTGGAGCATTAAAAACAAATAGCTCCTTCAAATGTCTGGCAAGAACTATAGAGGGCAGAGACACAGGGCTCCAGAAAGGCTAAATGGCAATATTATCACCAACGTTTTGGTGATTGTAACGTCTGTTTCCTGGGAGGCAAGGGTCAGAGAAACTGTCACCAAGTTAGCCTGAGGCTGCTCAAACCAGAAGTCAAAACATCTGGGAGAAAGTTTAACTCAAAGATCTGGTTGTTTCCACATATCTGGACTCATTCATCTGAAAACTATTTATTGAGCACCTGCCGTATGTCAGGCCACGGTGGGGACCAGAGTGAGGCAGGAAGGGTGCCTGGGGCACAAAATGTAGGCACCTCCTTTATCCCATCCTCATCCCCACACCATGCCAGGCACTGAGGAGGGTATAGGAGTAAATGAATCTCTCTCTCTCTCTCTCTCTCTCTCTCTATATATATATATATATATATGGATAAATGATCAAGTCTTCACTCACATTTTAGGGCTGCATATTTGGTGCTCAACTGGTTCTGTTAGAAACAGAAGTTCCTGCCCACACTTCACCTTGGCGTTACTAAATGACCTCCCCAAGTCTTGCTTTGGTTTATTTCTCACTCTGCATCCCCAGGTTGTCCTTTGGGGCTCAGGACTGGCTTGGACAATGGAACATCCCCCTCCCTGAGCGCCTAATGACGCCTGGTGCTGCTACAGACGCATCGACCACTCCAACCTACAGAATACCGCCTGGTTACTGCTGCCTGCACACGGAGGTCACAGCTGGTCTGTAACTTGGGAGCGGTCACCCACAGAGAAGACCGGCTCAGACTAGATTCAGACCTGGGGTGGATCTGAATGACACGAGTGGGTGCTCTTCAACACTCCATCTGGTCAACTCTTACTTCCTTGCGAGTGCGCTGGGCTCAAGATGTTGCCTTGAAATGCAGGCAGGGCTGCTCTTTCCCCCTGTCAAGTACCAGCCTTGGCAAGAAGCAGTCACCTTAGGTGACCCCCAGGGTGACATCATTACCCGCCATCCTACCTTCTGGCCCAGCTGCAAAGAAAGGTTCTAGCTGAGCTTTCTGGCCCCTCCACCATCCAACCCAATCTACCCCAATCGGTCCCCTTGTCTTTCAGCATCGTCCTCAAACCATTGTAGCCACCCTGTCAACAACAATATCAGTAGCCGGCACGCTGTGAGTCCTCTCTTCCCTTCCTTCAAACAACCGAATTATTACTTGCCTGCCTGTTACATGCCAAGCCTATTGCTAGCGCTGGGATGCAGCAATGAACAAGAGCAGACCTGGTACCCGTCCTCAGGGAACCTGAGGTCTAGTGGAGGGGGACGAACATCAATCACAGACTCACTCCCAGATGGGTAGACAGTCACCATCCCACTCCGGGGTAACTGGTATGAAGAGGAGGTTCAGGGTGCTGGTGAGAGAGTTGGTTAGTCCGAGGGGGCTCCTCTGAGGAAGGGACCTATGAGCTGAAACCTGTAGGATAAGGTAACGGGTCAAATGGGCAGGAAGAGCATTCCAGGCGGAGGGAACAGCATGTGCTTATAGGGAGCTGGATGAGTAAAAGGAACTGAAGTCCTTGATGCTGAGCAAGGAGGTGGGACCAGCTATGAGGCTGCAGAGAAAGAGGAGGCCAACTTGGGAAAGGCCTTACATCCCGCCTACGAGGGTTGATGGGGAGCAAGGGAGGTGCAAATGGGGGAGTTCCTGATAGGGTCTGGAGATTTGGTGGTGGAGAGCACGAGGGAAGAGCAGGGGAGGGAGGGGTCCCTGTTGTCCAGCACAACTGACTAGAGCAGGGGTCCTCAAACTATAGCCCGCGGGTCACATACAAATACAAATATTGTATTTGTTCCCATTTTGTTTTTTTACTTCAAAATAAGATATGTGCAGTGTGCATAGGAATTTGTTCATAGTTTTTTTTTAAACTATAATCCGGCCCTCCAATGGTCTGAGGGACAGTGAACTGGCCCCCTGTTTAAAAAGTTTGAGGACCCCTGGACTAGAGTAACGGCTGATCCTGAATTCAAACCATCCACCCGTCCCTCGCACGGGTGAGAAATGACCGGGAAGTCTGAACATGAAAGAAAGGGCTTTTTGGTTCTATCTGTTTTTCTCTCTGTTGATTGAACGCCCCGTGGAAAACGTTTTGGCCAGTGAAGTGAATTATGTGAAGAAACTAGAATCTCCTCTCTTCTTCTCCTGTCTCCATGTCTGTCCCATTCTCAAACGGCACTGTCGCTGAGCGCCAGAGGGTAATGAGCTGAACAGAAACAATTCTCATGTCACTTGAGGCTTAATTTCATCAGCAAGTAGAACTGCTTCTAATACCACCACAGGTCCTTCTCATTCAGTCAACCTGGCAATGTCTCAGAGGCTCCCCAGGCTGAAATCAGCTAAAGCGATTGTTTCCTGCATAAAGGGTTATAGTGACAACAGGTGCACACCACATACTCGGCCTTATGCCTATCACCTCCCAGGTGACCTGGCCTGGAAAACAGTGAGCTGCAAAACAATAAGTAGGTACGATCTCATTTATGTAAAAAACAAAACAAAACAAAAATACACCCTCACTCAGCCGTATTGGTATCACCTAGGAGCTTGTTAGAAACAGGATCTCAGGTCCACCCCAGACACACTGAACCAGGACCTGCATTTAACAAAGTCCGCAGGGGCCGCTCTGGCACAGGAAAGTCTGACAAACACTACTGTACACGTTTACATTTACACACACACACACACACACACACACACACCTCTGAGTGTATTCTGTCTATCTACATACCTATGTATCTATCTACACCTACATAGAAACAGGTTAAAAAAAAAATAGAAGAAAGAAATAGGTACAGTTGGCCCTACTTATCCTTAGATAGATTCGTGGATTCAACCAACCACAGATAGAAATTACTCTAAAAAAATCACCTTGTTGCCCTGCCCAGAGTAGCTCAGTTGGTTGAAGCATCGTCCCATAGTCCTGGGGGTGGTGCCCAGTCAAAGGCACATACCAAGGTTGCAGGTCCGACCCCCAGACCCCCTGTCTCTCTGTCTCTGTCTCTCTTTCTCTCTCTTCCTCTCTCTATAAAAAATTTTTTTAAGGCATTAACAAGATCACTTTCTTGCTGCCGTGTACTATGTAGTAAGGCCTACGACAGTTGTGTCTGTACTGAACATGTACAGACTTTCTTTGGTAGTCATTATTCCCTAAACATTACGGTATAAAAACTACTTACATAGCATTACACTGTATTATGTATTACAAGTAATCTAGAGATGATTTAAAGTATACAGTAGAATGTGTATACGTTATATGCAAATACTATGCCACTTTAATTAAGGTACTTGAGCATATATGGATTTCAGTATCCGTAGGCAGTCCTGGAACCAGCCCCCCCCACCCCCCCTCCCCCCGCAGATAGCAAGGGACAGCTATATATGAATAGACACATAAATGCTCAGAAAGGTCTGGAATCGTACGCGTTAACTGCTCACTGTTACTTTTGAGGAGAATGTGGTGTTGAGGTCTCGGGGGTAGGGCATTCAGGGGGGACTTTCACACGTTACCCTCTATCTTTCTGGATTATTTATTTATTGGTTTAATCAACAGGGGGAACCTGTTAATGTATTACTTGGGTATCTTAAATTTAAATATGGAGGCTGTGAAACCAAAGGCATGAAAAGCCGGCCTTGTAAATAACCCGGGCACCTCGGGTCCTTCCTCTCCACAAATGGGCTAGTAAACCCTTTGATCTACCAATTGCACTCGGAGAGATGCGCCCTTCAGAATTACTCACACATGTGTGAAATGATGTCCGACTAAGATTAGTCAAGGGAGCGCTGTTTGTAATAGCAGAAGATCAAAGGGAGCCCACAGGCCCATCAGTTGGGACCGGTTAAATAGATTAAGGTACATTTACAGTGGAACACTATGTAGCCATAGAAAAGATTGATGAGCTCTGTAGTATTGAGATGGAACAATGGTCCAAATCAAGGGGCCCTGCAAGGAAGGCGAGCCGAACAGCCTATCAGGCATCTTCACTTTGTGTAGCGAGGGAGGGAGTCGGAGGATGTGTTTATATTGGCTTCTGCGCTCACAGCACATCTCCGAATGTTAGGAGCTGGTGGTCACTAGGAGCAGGGAAACGGCTGCCGGACAGTCCTTAAGGGACTTCTCATTGTTTGTTGGACTTTGTGATTGCAAACTACTTGGCGGCATTACCTATTCAAAACCTTGCCGAACCAAGAACAAAACAAAACAAACAGCAGCCTCTAGGGTTCTCTTTATTCCTCTGAGAATCCTTACTCCTGAGAACTACATCTGGGGAAGTCATTGTAGCCTAATAACCGGGGGCCGGCCTGGTTCCCATGACAAGAAGGCTGCTTTTCATGGAAGGACAGGGGCATTCTCCATCCTAAGGGGACACGCACCCCCCCCCCCCCCCCCAATGCTGCCTTTATTGCTGTTTCCTCCTTTGCTGTCTCATTTTATGTGGCACAGCCTTTTCCCCCTAAAGGTCCCACCAGTTTTCTTTGCAAAATAAACAATTTCTGTGATTTGGGCCCTGGCCAGGTAGCTCAGTGGGTTAGAGCGTCGTCCTGATACTCCAAGGTTTTGGGTTTGATCCCTGAGCGGGGCACATACAAGAATCAACCAATGAATGCACACGTAAGTGGAACCACAAAGCAATGCTTCTCTCTCCCTTCCTCTCTCTCGAAAATCAACACATTTAAAAAATTTTCTGTAATTTTGCTTTTAAACCATCTACTGTCACATTTAAAACATTTTTTATTTTAAGATGGAAATAATGAATAGGAAATAGTTGGTTTCATCCTCTCTCCCTCCCTCCCCCAACTACTGAAAAAAAGGGAACAGGAAGAGCAGATAAGGAAAAGAGGTCAAAATCAGAACATCTCATGTGTCTCCAGGGCTGTCGGCCACAGTCCCAACACCTGGGAAATAGAATGTTTGAAAAGGTGCCGCGTACTTGTTGTAAAAACCTAAATTGTTTACATAGTCTAGAAGCCAGAAATACCTTGTTTCCTAGCTATTTTCTTATCTCCCTCATGCTTTCCTGAGATCTGAATTGTGCTTGAGAAGAAGAAGCAAGGAAAACAAGATAGAAAATCATACTTGCTTCCGTAAATATAACCAACTGAGGAAGACTTCCCAGAAGGGGCATCATTCACCGAGTCCCAGTGTACAGAGGGAATCGCCAAACAAAGGCCTTTTGTGAAGGGATCAGTCCTGAGCCATCATAACTTAGCATACAATGGGCCAGCTTAATAAAGGGCCCCGATGGCCATCCAGGAGCACCAAGGAGGGGGGAGAAGGGTGGAGAAGGGGGCGAGGGAGGAAGGGAGGGAGAGGGAGGGGGAGAGAGAAGAAAGAAACATCTGGAATGTTCCAAACTATCTTCCCAGTTAGCATTCATGAACGCATGAAAGGCTTATCAGCCTGAGTCCCACCCATTTTTCAAAATAAGAAGCTTCTGCTATTTTCTTGTGTATCTGTTATTGGTCAAGAGTCCAATGAATGTTTCAATGAATGTTTCAGTGAATGTCTCATTGTTATGTGAAATGATCAGGTATAATAAACAGCCCTTTAAATTTTGCTATATAC